ACGCCACTGCTCAGGGAGCTCTATTCAGAGTATTCCCAAGGTTTTTTTTCCCCGCTTCTTTCTCCACTGGGGAGTTACTTATGATCTATTTTTCCATTATTGAGCACCTAATACCGTAACACTTGATCGCGAGAATTGTCTTTAATGAGAATTCTCTTCATGGCGTTGTTTTCTCAGTCAATATTCGCAGTAAACGAATAAATCTTTTTACTTCGTTTGTTGAAACAATCACAATCAGCGCAAACCACAATGTAACAAAGTAATTAACGATAATATAGAGTTAAGGTATGGTACCTAAATCGTCATATATTTAAATACATTCACACCATCGCAGTCAGAGCGATTGCACATTGAACACTATGATTGCACATCGAACAACCTGTAGAGGAGGGAAAACGGGTAGCACACACACACACAAGAACGACAGAGAGACTAATAGGAACTAACTGGGACCAAGAGCTAACCAGCCTAATCGATTAATCAATGAATTTGAAACAATGAGACGTCTCGTTGACCCCCTTGTTTGTGGGGTCTAATGGACGATAATAGGCCGAAAACATCTGGACCAACAGCCCTAACACGATGAACATGAATTAAATACAGAAAAAATAAACGAATTGTGCATAGAATGAGAAGAATGGTGGAATCGAACAAAAGACACTCGTTGGGGGCTGAATATGATGGCTGCCTTGTTCGATTATGGAAGGACCACTGGGCGGCAACAACGCACAGAGGAAACCCGGGAGAAATACCCGATCGTGTGGACATATCATATTTCGCTGTACGAATCGTTCTTTCTATTCGTAATTTGTAAATATTCAGGAAGGAATTTGTCGTAAGAATTTTCATCAAAATTATTGATAGGGATCTGAAAAAAAACATGTGTGCAGTTTGTTTTTCATAATGTATAAAACACATATTTAAACGTATACAAATATAAAAACAAAAAAAAATTATAAGAAATAACCTAAAACGGAAGTTCGACCATGTTCCCGCCTTCTCCTAGCCCTTCGTGCCATTCGTCTCACAGAAGAAGATGACACTGGACCAAATTCGGACACCTGTTAAAGAATGTATAAGAATCGAAACTCACAGTGAGCTTTATAACACAGTTCAGCGACGGAGGGAGGAGGCACTTTGCACTTTGAGAGCCCATATTTTGTAGCAGCTCCACCAGCGACCACCAGCGTTTCGAGCGTCCGTCAGCGTCAGCGACTAGGAAAGTATAGATATCGATCTAGCGAACGGCAGCGTCTACCAGCGTCTACCAGCGTCCACCAGCGACCAAGCGTACACCAGCGACCTGGAGTACGGTATTGTGTAGTAGTACGGTGCGGTTGCACACGTCACAATTTCACGACGCCTAATCCAGCTGTCTCCTCCCTCCTACTTCTCCATACTCTACCAGCAGTCTGCTGCCCTCCTACTTCCCCATACACTCAACTCCTGGTCGCTGGTGGACGCTGGTAGGCGCTGGCAGACGCTAGATCGATATCCATACTTTCCTAGCCCTCGAGACGCTGATGATCGCTGGCGGACGCTGGTGGACGCTGTAGACGCTGCCGTTCGCTGGATCGATATCTATACTTTCCTAGTCGCTGACGCACGCTCAAAACGCCAATGGTCGCTGGTGTTCGCCGGTCGACGTTGCCGCAAACTATGAACGCAGCCTTTTGTTACTTCCCACCGACGGTGTCGAGCTATCAAGTGGAGACCTGTGAAATCTTGTGAAGCCACGAAATGATGCCAGTCAATATTTGTAAAGAATACCTGTCAACTCTTGTAAATAGTAACACGAATACCATTTACCATGGTGGGTCGACAAGCTTGCTAGCTAGCGCTTCACAAGAGTTCACAGGTTTCACCAGAGTGAGACTTGTTAAACCGGAACTAGTGAAGCATCGAAAGTGCAAAAAGCCCCCACTCGTCGCCGAATTAGGCCGAACTTCATTTTGAAACCCACCTCTTTCATCACTCCATTGAACTCCTTTTCAATCGAGTCACTGGATACATAGTCGGGGCTACCTCTGTACGCGTGCAAGCCCAGCAGAAAATTACACAACACTTCACCTTGAATTCAAATGATTAGGGCCAAACTCAACAATAATAAAAGCCTTATCAATAAAATAGGCGCTTAAGATGATGGAGTCCACGTGCATTCATTTCAATGCACGTTTCTTACTCTTCAGTGCTTTATTGACTGGCCCCAACTCGTGTTTTCTGAGCTGACCTTCACGTATCAGATGGCCCTTGTGCGGAGATTAAACTGCAATTTAAAACCCCCTCTTGCACAGAAGAATTGGCTCGCCCGAAGCTTCCGCTCTAGGCAAAGATAACCCCCATCCCCTTGGCTCAAGCAGCTGTTGTACCAAAAGATTCACCTTACAGGATAATCGCTTCGATAAATTCTATTGAAAAACTCACTGTACGTTTTTGTCTCCATTGGTGGAAAATGTAGAAATTTTTGTAGTTTTGCTTCGATCAGCCATTGAATATCGTTTGATGCAAGACATCGTGGGATTCTGGTTTCTAAATACTGCGAAAATAAAGAAAAGAATTCACGTGCTCCAAAATTAACA